ATTTGCGATAAGTGTGCTATATATATATATATATATATATATATATATATATATATATATATATATATATATATATAAAAATAAGTTAAGTATATTTTCATAGATGTTAGAGATTATTCAGCGTTAATTGATTTCCGGTTGATTTTTTGCGATAAGTGTGCTATATATATATACAAATAAGTTAAGTATATTTTCATAGATGTCTGAGGTTATTCAGCGTTAATTGATTTGCGGTTGATTTTCTGGGATAAGTGGTAGATGATTTAACAATAGGACCATGCAATATATTTAAAATGAGAGAGACCGGAGCGTGAGATTAGAACAGCGTGAGAGAGAGGGAGGTCAAGTTGATTTTATAAAATAAAACGTGATTTTAATGATTAAGAAGAAAAAATTGTATCACATCTTAGAAACTTCCACAAACTTATTTTACGAATTAAAATCTTATTATCAGATTAAAATCTGTCTGATGATCGTGTAAGCGTGAAACTCAGAGTCACAGAAAAGTTGTCTTATTGATTTGTCCAACTTTCAGATATACCACGCTCTGCGAACGCATCGAGCACTATACCGCAAGGATAGACCCGTACTATAATCAAGATTTTTGTATATATATATAAATATCGAAAACTCATATAAGTTAGTGACCACATCGTGAGAGAAACGATTTTATCATGTAAACTAACGGTGTTAACAAGGATTATTAGCCCTGAGAAAAGCCGTAACAACACACGTAAAAAAATTCGATATTTTTTCACTTTGTTTGATATCGCTAATCAGCTGCTGACACGTCACTCGCCTTTTGCGCCACTTGGTCAGGTTAATAAATGAACGACAAAGCCTTCACCATTTTCAATTCATGTTGTTAGTCGGAATTTTCTCGTATCCTGACTGGTAAAGTACTGAAAAATCCGTATGGTTTTCAGACACTGACGTTCAAACTTTCCTAGAATGTAAAGAAAACCAAATTGCGAAAAGAAAAGCCGAAAGTTACGCATTCAGTGGTTTTGGTAATGGCATTTCACGCAGCTGAGAGCGAAAATCGACAACTAGTAGATTTTCCACGGGCCAATTTTATCAATGTAGCTGAAAGATTTGTATAGGTCATGTAAAAGTCAATAACTTACAATTTTTTTTATATTGAAAATGACGCCCATTATTGTTTTGTAGTGATTCAGCGCTTTTTTTCCATATTGAGCTTTATCGCCAACGCACTTTATGATTTTTATTCGGGGATTGTCGATTCCTTTATTTTCATTCGTTAATAAAACCGAATTTTCTTGTCGGCTAAGGGCTACTGTGTTTATAAGATAAACAAGATAATACAAGGCTGCTTGCAGATATGGAATTTCTCTTCAAGTTTCAAAAGTTCATCAAGCTTTGCATCCACCTTGCATCCACCTTCTCTCGCAACCCGAAAGGAATTCTGCGTACTTGCTGTGCCACAGGCTTCACCGACTCATCAGCATGCAGTTCTTATTCGTAACCCTTCAAAAGACCAACTCCACTAAACAAGTGCTTGTATTTCTCTCTAACATCACTGTCCGGTCGTCCACTGTCAACACTGTTGGCCTGAAAAGGACCAACACGCAGCAGGTTTAGCGCCTCGGGAGTTTCGCGACCCAACGGCGTACAACCATCCCCTTCAACCACTACGAAGTCAGCCTTGTTTCCATCTTTAAACCCAGCTTGCGTGACATCTGCCATAAAAGTTCCTAGGGTCGGTAAAGGTTCTTTACCACCATAAACAAAAAGTTCTTTCAGTGGTGATAGTAACCCCTTTTATTCATTTGAAATTTCAATCAGTCGATTTTTCTAGACCTGGCAACGGAAGAAGAAATTATTGCTATTGAAAAAGGAATAGTCAGTCACAAAAAGCTGCGGCCATGATAGTATTCCTATGTATACAATAAACAGGAAACTTTCTGAACGTTATCTCCGTCCCGTTCACATAAGTGGTTAATTTATCTATATTGCATGGCATCGTTGCAGAAAAAATGAAAATTGCCCGCGTTGTAGCCAAATTAAAACTTTGTTAGTAACGGGGCAATATTTCTCTGATGATATACCTGTCCTGATCGTTCCTCGCTTTTAAAAATTTCCAAAGTGAATAGCTTACAGTCTAATCTTAATTAGTAGCCAAGTCATTACCGAGGAAATCACCATGTTGCCGAAAACTCCCAGAGTTCGACTCAAGTATCGCTTAAGAGGCTTTCAGTCGTTTGCTTAACGATACAAGGTTACAACGGTTTTCGACGTGATCTCAACTTCTTCTAAACTGTGCGTACTGTTGTCAAACGGCGGGAATTGTGGTCAGAAACAAATTATCGATGAAATATGTGGGAAAGTTTGTAAGGCATCGGTGGGGATATGAAAAGATAATTTAGTTTTATCAACTGAGATAGAGTGAATTGTCTATCATTCAAACTTTCCAAAGCTAGCTTTGGAAACTCTTTACAGCATCTAATCTGCATTATCAACTCAGTTGATAAAACCAAATTGTCATCGAAGTAACTTTTTTCAAACATAGATATATTATTTCAAAGCCAGTAAACCGTGTTTGCAAAAGCTGTGCCCTTTGGTCTTGAGTGTCGCCCGAGGTCCTAAGGCGTTACTCAAGACCTCAGGCGCAATTTTTCCCAATACGGACTGACCTAGGCTAATAAATGACAAATTTGAATTTTATTTAAAACTTAACGAAAGGTTTGCCAAAAGAACCCGAATAACAAGCCTCTCTTGTTCCTCATTCACTTTCCAAAATTTTAGAGCAAATAGCTTACAGTCATATCTTCTTTTTTGATGGCCAAGTTGTTACCGAGGGAATCGCTATGTTGGCGTAAACTTCCAGAAATTCGACTCTTGTATCGTTCCAGAGGTTTTTCTTTTGCTAAACGATACAAGTATATGGCGACTTTCGACATGATTAAAAGATTATTGTTATGTACATACTCTACTCGTCTTTGGACCATCTTTACCAAGTTTATTACAGTGCCACATGTCTTATTACAAAGAGTGACAGGTATTACAAAGTAAGGTGATTATTACAAAGTTATTAAAAAAGTTGGCTTCTCGTTACCTTCTATATTCTCTCAACTAACCGACAGTGATCGCAGTTTAGGTTATGGTGTCTTCGCTTATCGTGCTGAACTAATATTTTCTCCCATAAGAATGAAATATTCTTTGTTTTCCCCAGGCCCTAACGTGCTTGACGAGGTGACTTTAGGGTCTTGAAGCAGAATCAAAAGTAAGAAGTAAACTTGCAAGTTTGCTTTTTGTCCTTGGTTTAACCGCCTTTTTCTTCTGGATCTCATACAAAGCTGAGATAAGAAAAGGAAATAGCAAATCCAGAAACAACAACAGAAGAATAGGTAAGTTAATGAGTTGGAAATGTTTTACAGCATTTGATGCTCGTCAGGTTAATTATAGGTTAATTATGCCCTCGGAGTTTCAGTTACTCAATTAATTTTGTTAATGAATTTCGCATGACCTTGAATTTGTTCCCTTGAACATGTAGTAAAATTGCATTGCGAAGGAAGGACCTCTGGTGAACAGACCACATCATGTAAATAGGCTTCTTCAGCTTTCGGAAGCGCGTAACTTAGTTATATCTATGTGTTTGAAATTTGTTATATTACTTTTATTGTCCTTGACTGATTTTTGCCCCAGCAAGGTCTAGTATTCTGCTTGGCGCAATCAGATGTCAAGTCCAAAAAGTGAAAAGAATTATTACTTAAAACGAAGAACCACTTCGTCAATAAACTTCATTGTACAGTTCCGATAAACCTAGATCCATTTTTGAGCTGACAAACTGGGCACTTTAGCCGCAAATTTGATCGAATGTATATTATCAAAATATTCGATTTTAACGTTGCTAAAGTATGTCAACCGTCTGTATTAACACATATCCTGAATGTAAAAACATGTACTGCAGGAAAAAAAGATACGTATTATCCACATCAAAACACTCTTCAGTGTTACGGTTGTAAAAAGTCGATGCTTTTGAAAACTGTTCCAGAGGGGGCGATCCTTCCGGTAAAATAGAAAGCAAAACCAATTCAACTGCATATGTAAAAGAGCAACTTTTATGAATTTCCAACAAAAGCATGACGACAAAGATAAAAATTTACATCGTAAAATAGGTTGTGCCTATTCATCGTGGTAAGTAACACTTCAAAAAGAGAAATAGAATCGTTTGTCTCACGACGTGGTCACTTCAGATGTGATTGTCCTTCGACGTAGAATCGTTGTTCACCAAAGTTCCGATCGACGTAACTGTAGAAGCAGCTCGGCAGAAACTGGAAAACGATTCCAGCCCACCCAACTGCACGACATTACCACCTAGTCATATTACAGACCTCCCCAACTTGATATTGAGATCTACATACTGCCAGTACAATGGATCAATTGACAAACAGACAGAAGGCGCAGCTATAAGGGAGCGCGGTTTCCGCTGTTATTGTCAACCCCTATATGGTGAGTTTAGAAGAACATGAGGTAACATCATCACCTTACAACCCTACGATACCTTCACCATCTTGGCATATGACAGCATGGAAAACTTCCTACAGCATTTAAACCACCAACAGCCTTCCATTTACTTCACCAAGGAGACAGAGAGAAACAAAAAATTCGCCTTCCTCGACACCGCATTTACAAGAGAACCTAATGGACGCCTAACCACCAGCGTCTACAGGAAGCCGACATACATGATCAATATCTAGCGTATGACTCTCACCATCCGCGTTAAGTAAAGTGCAGTATTGTCGAGTGCCTTTACGAGCGTACGAAATGTCTGGTAACAAAACCTTTCGTTATCTCCAATGGAAAGAAACATTTGTCATCTGTTGTTGTTTCTAATGCTTATCCTTCCTCTTTCGTACGTAGAGTAACTAAAAACAAGACACCGACAGCCAGCACTGAACACCCACCGAGTTTAGATCCACTGCATTTCCAGAATCGAAATTAAAGCATGCCGGTTCAGTAAAACTTGTTAATACTTCAAAATAAATTTCAATATCTCCTTTATCGTAAGTGAGATCGTCAGTCCAAAGGTTGTTCCAACTCAAGCTACAGCCACAGAGAAAGCCACAAAGAAGTCATCCTCAAAGGTTTTCATTTATCTTACTCAAACAGAACAACAGGTTCCCTCAAACTTGGCCTCTTCTTCCGAGAGCGGCGACCACGAAACATGTAACTGTGATGTGATAGTGCTAAGCTTTCGTACTAAATGTCAAGTGCAAAAGTCGCCTCATATCACCTATCTGTTCGATGCCAATACTGGATGGGCAACAGGGCGAAATGTGCTGTATTTTGCTGCAGTAACAAGATCGCCAAAGTACCATTATTACATTTTTATAGATGATGATGTGGTGCTGCCCTTAGATTTATTTGCATCGCCACAAATAAAGAGGCTTCCGCCGTCTAGAGTCTTCGAACAATGGCTCTTGGAGTACGAGCCTGTAGTTGGCGTTGTGGATTACAAATGGCATCATGGGGCCATCTGGACCAATGAGAGAAGAAAGAAAATATGTAACAAAACGGACAGTCCCCTTGTGATACCAAAAGTATGGTATGATGATACAAATGGCATCATGGGGCCATCTGGACCAATGAGAGAAGAAAGAAAATATGTAACAAAACGGACAGTCCCCTTGTGATACCAAAAGTATGGTATGATGGTCTTTTCAATGCATTTCATTACAAATCTATCGAGCATCTCTCCCCTTACCGTTCGCAGTATGAAAACAAAAGCTGGTGGTCACAGCAGAGGTATATGTTTTCTGCTGTGGAACTGATAATTCGAGGCCAAGCATTGATGTTTGTGCCTGTTAGTGCGGGAAATCCAAAACATCGCCCATACCCAACGTCTTTAAAGAACGAAAACACAAACTGGGGAGATTACATCGATACAGTTCGAGAGAAACCTCCTTTAATTTACAGAAATAGGACCTTAGTCGAAGATTTTAGGCGGAATCTTGAGGGTTACGTTATCAACACGACAACGTATTGCATGAATGTAACGCGTCATCAACACATTAAACCGTACGCTCATTTTGATTTTCAGACAGAGATGTAGTTGATGAGGTTAGTGAAGAGGTAAACTAAATTAAAATTTCAGTTTTTCGAGCTGAAACCATCGCTCTCTGTTTGAACCCAGAGATTTGATAACCTCGTCTTCTCGATTCGTTTTTTAAATAATTTAGAGAACCTCGTTTTGGCCATCCGAGAGGAAAAAACTCAAATCTTAACGAACAGAAATAGAAGTCAGAAAGAGATATATATCTTCACCAATGAAAATCGTACATTGAATTATTGTAACCAACTGCGTTTTGAGTTGCTAAAGGGCAAACAAACTATTCGGAGATTTGACTTTGAACGGCGCCATCGTAAAAACATCGTAGTAACCTGGCCTTAAATTCATAACCATCATGGGAGCTCCACAAAAGGCTGCTGCTTTGATTTATCAGGGGTCAATCTGATCACTGATTTTGCTCAACAATCCAAGTTAACTTTTGAGTTGTTATTGAATCGAATTTTTATGAACAGTTGTGAACCAAGAGTGTGCATTTATTTTTTCAGTGTCAGCTTGTGTTGCAAAGAAGGTAATGAAAGCCGAAGAGTCTTTAGCTTGCTGCCTTGCTTTTTGAACTTGTGATTACTGAAAACTCCCTGTGTAGTTTTCTTGCACGTGGACTTTGTTATGATATTTTGTGGCTTTTTAGTCCACCAGGCTACTTTATATACCATTGGTATATTTTTATGCATGATTATATTTTTTATTAGTCTATATAATGACGTAATTTAGCCAACGGGCTGGGATGTAATTTTTAAAAACTATCTCTCAATGTATCTATTTTTATTTACCAATTTTTTTAGATGATTGCCTTGTCTTTTCATATTGTTCTATCAGACCTTTCATTCGCTTACCCAAGCTTGTAAAAACTTCCAAATTCTTTCTGAAAAACGGAGTGTTTCTCAATCAAAATCTGGATGTTGTAGCTATGATAATCACTCTGTCATTGTATTTTCTTTAATGATATCACAAAGTAAGATTTGTTTTTATAGCATTGACCAATCAAACCTTCTATTTTGTTTTGGCCTTCCATTGACATTTCTATCAACTGAACTTTCCCTTTTTTTAAGGAAAGTTTGTTTAAAGGATTTTCTTAAGGAGAATGTTAAAGTACTTTGCAACATTAAACAGGGTCCTCGAAATACTCTTATTTCGTGCTGTTATCACTTTTAACTGAAATCAGCTTCTACTTCGCTTGAAAAAGTTGATAAAAGAGTTACATATCCAGCCACCATTCAAGTTTTCACCTACAAACCACTTTTGGAGTTACTGAACATCAAAGAAATTTCGTCCCAGCCTTATAACTAACCGCTTTCGTTTTTGTGTATTTTTGTTTGTGACAAAAAAACCTCCTTCGGGAGACAAATAATCCCAGCAATGGGATAGAAAAACCTCCTTTGGGAAACAAATAGTCCCAGCAATGGGACAAAAAACCTCCTTCGGGAGACAAATAATCCCAGAATTGGGACAAAAAGCCTCTTTCGGGAGACAAAGAGTCCAGAAATGGGACAAAAAGCCTCTTTCGGGAGACAAAGAGTCCAGAAATGGGACAAAAAACTTCCTTCCGGAGACAAGTAATCCCAGCAATGGGACAAAAAACCTCGATCGGGAGACAAATAATCCCAGCAATGAGACAAAAAACTTTCTTCGGGAGACAAACAGTCCGGAAAATGGGACAAAAAAACCCTCATCGGGAGACAAATAGATCAGCAATGGGACAAAAAACCTCCTTGAGATACAAATAATCCCAGCAATGAGACAAGAAACTCCTTTGGGAGACAAACAGTCCAGGAAATGGGACAAAAAACCTCCTTCGGGAGACAAATAATCCCAGCAATGGGACAAAAGACCTCCTTCGGGAGACAAATAATCCCAGTAATGGGACAAGAGATCTCCTTCGGGAGGCAGACGGTCCCAGCAATGGGACAATTGATATAAAAATTGATGATAACATCCCTGAGAGTTGTGCCTGGTTCTGAAGCTGATACATGTAGTGATAGTGCATATGCCCTGTTAACTATATACTGATTTAGCATGGTTTAAGGACACTAGATGTGGATGGAGGAGGAGATTGCTGTTTTAGAAATTAAAGCTAAATGCATTCAATATTTAAGAGATAATCCTGAACGATTTGTAGAAAGTGATGAAGAAACGTCATGGTTAGAATACGTTATCCAATATGTTTAGGAACATGGGCTCATCATATCGATATACAAGCAGTGGCTCATGCAATAGATTTAAAGATTCGCATCAGAATTGAATGAAAAATTTTCAGAGATGACCTCGGTTGAACCATCAAATATGATAAACCATCCAATGTCTATGTATCTAGGACACATAGGTGAAATACATTATGTCTCAACTTTATCAACTCTGTCTCAAACAAGTTCAAATCAAGCACAGAGTGAAACATTTCATAACAATGCTAAATAATCAAGTGAAAATGAACGAAAAAGGATGCGTAATGCCTATATGAAAGAATTTAGAAAGACACAAAAGACACAAAAGGATGCAACAAGCAACGGCAAACAGGAATAAGAGAAAAAAGCCCACTATAGGAGGCAATATAGAACAGCTAAAGCAGCAGAGGAGAAAGAAAAGCATAGAGCATACAAAAAGAATCGAAGAGCATCCAAAGCATCTGAATAAGAAAAGGCAAAAAATAATGCCTACATCAAAAGTTACACAGCTAAACGCAAAAATAATATTCAATCTTGGATTTCAAGGTCCACTGTACATCTGTACCTGTTGTGATCTGAAATAGTATTATCATAGTGTGGTTTGTAATGATAAACTTATACAGTCTAACCCAGATATTGACAAGTATCTCGGTTATATGACAAGTGTTGATGACAATGAATGGGTTTGTAAAACATGCCATAATAACTTGGTTAAAAACAGAATTCCACTATTTGCTGTTGTCAGTGGTTTGGTATTCCCACAAAAACCAACATTCTTTTTATCTCAATAAATTAGAATGTAGATTGCCAGCACTAAGAATTGCATTAAAAAAATATAGAATATATATTTGAGTATAGCAACTCAAAATCCATGATAATATTGTAAATGTGCCTGCAGATGTTACTAATTCAGTCAGTGTGTTACCACGGTTACTTGGTGAGACTGGTACAATAAAAGTGAATTTAAAAATAAAGTTGAGGCACAAGAGTTCTGTAACGTCTTTTAATGTAAGACCTCATAAGGCTGTTGAAGCGGCATTGTGCCTTATTAGTTGTAGTGGTCTTTATAAAGATGAAGGTATTGTATTGAACCAAAATTGTATTATTAATTATAATGAAGAAATTTTACAACATGAGAATAAGAGTGACAATACATGTGATTAACAATCAGTAACAGCTGGTATAAATAGCAACAATATTAATGTAGATTCACAACAACTAGATGGTGAAGATGAATGGAGTGAAGATGAAGTAGAAATTCGACAGGTTTTACCGATGCTCTGCTAACATCAACCGACTTTTGAGAAGCCACTGCACGTGAAAATATTCTCAATGTTGCACCAGCTTAGGGTGATAGGCCATTGAGTGTATTCAGATACAAATATTCTGAAGAATTAGCATATCCTAGAATATTTCTTGGCCAGAGAAGACCAGAAAATAAGAAACATATGGTTGAACTCCACCACAGTGAAATCTGTAAGTCTGAACTTAGAAGTTCAAATAGAAGACCAGCCAAGTGTGTTGAGAACATACTTTGCAAAACAAAAACGTCACAAATGAAAATCCTTTTAGGCCAGTCCCAAATTGCACTCAGAAAATGTAATAGCAGGATCCAAAATGCAGGAAACTTAAAACAACAAAGAACATTTGATAGCTTAATCTTTCATAATGAGGGATTTAAATTTCTGAGAGCCTCAAGAAGTTCACCTCCATATTTTGGGAAAGCTAAAAGAGACCTTTTTGTAATGTAGACAGTCAGGTCCAGCTTCCTCGTTTTGTAGTTTCTCATCAGCAGAGACACAATGGATACACTTTCTTAGAATACTTGGTCAAATTGTTAATCAGCAAAAATATACTGATAACGAACTAGAGAGTTTAAACGGGGAAGAAAAATGTAGATTAATTCAACGTGATCCTGTAACTTGCGCCAGACATTTTGACTATGAAATTAGTCAATTCCTCGAATACCAGCCAAGAGGTTCACCTTATATTCAAATGTTGATTCGGCTTGAGAATACATGACAGTTTTCTATGGACAGTGATGCAAACGTGACATCAGATATGGATAATATAATTAGTTGACAAAGACCAACAGACAACCATGAACCACTTAAACTAGTCAACAGATAAGTACACAGATATTCTCATAGTTGTCGGAAGAATACAAAAAGTGACGGTGGACACAAATTTTGTATCCTCTAAATACTGATATCCCTCGAAGTAAAATAAAAAGACACAAAGATGCAAGGAAATAAATCCAAAAGCATCCAAATGATGTGAAGGAAGGCGAAGATATATTCTTTGATCAGTTACTGTTTGAGCTCAGTCTCGCAAAAGAAAACTACTCGCTAGCTATAAGCTCATCATTTAATGCACCTACTGCGTTTTTGAAAAGAAATCCAAATGAATTGAGGATGAACAATTACAATCCTGCTTGTCTTAGTGTATGGAGAGCAAATATGGACATTCAGTTTGTCGTAGATGTTTATGCATGTGCTGTGTATATGGTGACTTATATATCAAAAGCTCAAAAAGGAATGAGTGAACTTTTACAATAGGCTTGTACGGAAGCAAATGAAGAGAATTCCAGTATAAAACAGCAAGTCAGAGACATTGGCAAAGTTTTGAATAATGTTTAAATAAGTGCTCAAGAGGCTGTGTATATTGTTTAAAAACTTCCTATGAAAAAGGCATATTCGACAAGTTATATTTATAAATACGTCACCTCCTGAAGATGAAGTGGAGCTTTTAAAGCCAATTAATGATATTATAGATTTGGAGGAGGACTGTGAAGAAATATATAATAGATACTGATAATCTTCT